CCCGAAGCTCTTCCCGACGCATCGTAACATTACTAATACATTATAAAAATACCAGTTACATGTACCTCCTTCACGACCCTAGCTCAAGACAGTCTTGGATAGTTTCGAGGTGGATTCTATTATATAATAGGCCTAGTTAATAGCCAGAGGTAAAAAAGGAGACGAATATGCGGTCCTTTACGGTAACCTGCGGAAACTGACGGTAAAGGGTCGGTACTCTTCCTAGCGCTAAGTTATTTTGTTTACAATCACAGCAAGATGGCTGCCAGGCAAACTGGCTACTGCTAAGCACATTTCAGCTCTGCGCCGACTGACGGATCGCTAGCAATGGCTGGACATGTTTCTGTAGATAACAAAGATACTGTCAGGGCACTTGATAAAAAGACTGAAAATGCACAGGCTAGCATCGGGCATAGGTATTTAAGACAATTTAGGCTAATATTTTAATAAAAATTTAATAGTATAATAGTAATAGTATAGACATAGTATAGTACAGGAGAGAAGAGTCGGGTAACTAACTGCCTCTCAGTTGGCACGCGACGAAACTAGATCCAGCCTTCACACACTCTATGCTCAACGTAGGCTACATGACCCAAGTTTCGTCAGGAGGAGTTCTGTAGAGTGCCGGCACTTACGGTGACAATGTCCCTGAACAAACTCTAGATCTATACAAGAGTTAGAGTTACCCCGCTCAAAATATATGCAGGAGGAATTCCATAACGAGCGACCACAATGAGGAAATAGAGTTCATGTATAAATACAGATGGTTAGGGTTATTGTTTAGGGTAAGGGTAAGGTTTTGGGTAGGGGTAGGTGCAGGGTTGGGGTTTAAGGGTTAGGGCTAGGTCTCTTATTTATTGTGTTTGTTGGGATGGTCGCTCGTTACGGAAATCCTTCCAAACATCCCTCTTTTAATATTGTGTGTTGTTGGTCGGCCGGTCCTCTGCGGAACTCCTTACGTTTCGTCTGCAACTTTTCGTAGCCAATGAAATTGCATATAGTCTACTGATTGGTTTGCTTTCTGGTCGTACTTCACCTGCTTCGCTCTTTCTTCAAGTGGATGTGGTGACGGGGAACTTCGCCACCATGTCGGGGAAATTCGCCTGTCTTTAACTGGGAAATTCGCCTTACTGGGAGATTATCTTATTTCTTTATATGTAGATTATTAAACACATGTAAAAACTGATCTTTCTTTGTTAAAGGAAAACCAGCCTAATTTGCAGCAGTAATCACTTTGTCAACAATTTTATTTGAACTCTCCCTCCCAGCCCTCATTCCAAATGTAGATCGATCAGAGACATGGTTGGCAAGAGAGGTTTTCTGGGAACACTAAATTCTCGGGCTGCCCCAGAGCAGCTTTGTCCACTGAAAACAGCTTCTACGGCTTTCTCCAAATCACTTTATAAAGTTTAAATATTTTATACTTTTGTACAAATGGATAATCAATATTCCTGCGTGACAAGGCCCTTTTTAACAGTAAAAGGGCATAATTCATACAAGTGACAATAAAATGCGGCCAATGTATTTTAATTTTAAAAGAAAGCAGTTTCAACTCAATCTCTGAATAAAAATGTGTACAGCAAGAGAGTATTGAGAAAGCAGTACAAAAAGATAAAGCAGAGATTGGGCAAGTGAGGAGGAAAGGGAAGCTTAGTGGGAAGACGCATGCTTGAAACACAGAGATTGTTCTTCATCATAGCAATTAATTTTTCTTATTGGTTGATAATTGACAAATTGTTTCTTGTCCCAAGTAACTTGACACTTAAACTCTTCCTTGGTGGGTATATCGGATTATTTGATTATTTCCATTTCCATTTGGGGGGGGGGGGGAAGGAAGGAGAGGTGGCGAATGTCCCCTTCTGGTGAAGTTACCCGAATCTACTCTCTGTAGTGTTTTAAATTAGGCTAATTTGTGTCAGTGGTGGGAGACAGGAGCCATTCAGTGACATAACGAGCAACCACAATGAAATCTAAATTACCGATGGCCATCAAAATCTATTCTTAAACTTCAGAATAATTTTTATCAGGGCTTGTGCCCCTGATTTGGGTTATGTTTATGGTAAGAGCAAAGGTTTACTAGTGCTTGGGTCGTCAGGGCTACGTTCAGTAGGGTTAGGGCTCGGTCTAGGGTAAGGATTATTCTCATCTAGATTTCATTGTGGTGGCTTGTTACGATAGTCCTTCCGTCAGTGACAATATCCCATATGTGTCATTCAAATTCAAATTGAGCTTTTGCCAAATCATTGTTGATATTTGTATGTAACTTCAAAATAAAACCAGGCCGAAATCTTATGTAGTTTTCTTTTTTAATAATTTCATAAGATCCTTTTTCACATATGAACGGAAACGTGCATGCATAAATAATAATAATAAATGACATTTATATTAGCACTTAACCCCGATTAATCGATTAAGAACACTGGCTCTGAGGTCTTTACAATACAATACAATGTACAACAGTAACATAAAACGTTGTGTTCTGACCGAAAGACAAAGTTAAAGTGTGGGCTAGGTAGACACACTTTGCATTTGAGTTAAATTGTCCAAAATATCATTAGGCCTAGGCTTTTTTTTCTTGTTTTGTTTTTAATACACTAATTGAGGGCCATTCAGTGCAAACTGAAGTGTCAAAAGTCGGTAAAAGCAGTAAAGTTTGGTACAGAATGAGTAATAGGGATGCACTTTTCTAGAATGTTGTGTTGATGAGTCACTGTTTTTATCCTGGAAAACACATGCCAGCTTTCCTTTGCAATAATAAAAGTATAGGCATAACTCGCTTGAGCCTGAGCTATTTTTCACCCAACAACTATTGCAGCCAGACACTTTTGGGATTAAGCATTTTAAAAACACAAATACTGTGAAAGCTATAAATAATTTTTTAAAATGCAACAAGAGAAAGAAAGAAATGCTTTCACAGAGAAGAACAAACTGCATCTAATTTGACAGAATAGTTTTTATTTTGTCAGTATTTTGAAATGGCAATGTCTGGGGGTTACGCAGTTTTTGTGTGTACCCAAGTTGTAATAAAATCATCTATCGCAATGCGGGGTGACTGACCGAGTCCATTACAGCTAAAAAATATCTCACATAAACTTCTCCTAATTCTTGAAGAAAGGAAACAAGTGGGTCAGCTGTTGGCTTACCGCTTCCCGTAGCTTGTGACCGAAAAACACCTGAGATATCGATCGATAAAGCACATCCCGTAATGACAGGGGATTAGGTCACTGGGTTGGCAGGGCATTCAGTAAATATAGGGGAAGAGACTCAAGTGAGTTAACGCGGCAGAGCAATGTCATCACCACCCTGCTAAAACCAGCTAAAAGTTGGTGGAAGTCGCACTTTATAATGCCTTTAATAAAAGGAAGAGCACTAATTTAATATGAGAAGCAACAAATTGATATCAAATATCCAGAACTAGTGAAAGTGTTAGTAGTGAGACTCTTACAGTTTGATGGTTTCTGTAACCTCCAGTAGTGTCAGTCCTTGTTAAGATTAAAATGTACTTTTTTTCCGATTTATTTATCAGTGCTTTGCTTTCAAATGTCCCTTTTTTTTGTTTCAGGCATACTATGTCCGGTATCTCACTGGACACTTCAACAAGAAGGAGGTCGTACATCAAAGACTTTTGTGTCGCTACTCCAGAAGAGTTTGTGAAAAATTTTGGAGGATCAGTTGTTATTAACAAGGTAGAGACTGGTTCAGTTTTTATGGTTTCGATTCATCAATTTCTTACCCAATAGACAGTTGGTAGATTATGAATCTGTAATATATTCATAAATGCTGTCAAATGTATGTTGGTTTATTTATAACTTTTAATAAAATATTAGTAGCAATATTATTAAAGGAACATATTTAACATTAAAAAGCTTAATGATTATTTTCTTTAAAAAAAAACTACTGTTGATTAAAAAAATGTCCCCGTTGAAAAATAAGATTTTGTCTTTTGTCATACAGTCCAGGTCAATATAAATATATTTTAAAATTAAAGGGGCTTCTGTTTTATCTGAATGCTTGATTAAATTGGATTATTTAAAACTAATTAATGTGAATGTAGTCATGTAGTTATGTCTCTCTAGTGGACTAATCACTCTGTTTTGAACAGGTTCTCATTGCAAACAATGGAATTGCTGCTGTCAAATGCATGCGCTCTGTGCGTCGATGGGCCTATGAGATGTTTCGGAACGAGCGCGCCATCAAGTTTGTGGTCATGGTCACACCTGAAGACTTGAAAGCTAATGCAGGTATGGGAATGGTTTAAGTTTAACTGTATTAAACACATCTTGAATTGCAGTTTAGTGAGGAATTTTTGCCTCTTGCAGACAAGAATGAGTTTCTAATGTCATTAGTTTTATTACAACTCAAAGGGCGTTTTTGTCAAGGTAACTGTGGTAGATGTGTAAAACATGTTTACATTATTTTGATTTGACCTTACTTTTATTTAGCTGGGATGGAGCTTTTCGCTCATAAAACTTAAAATATGGACTGCTAATTCATTGAATATTTTTTTTTCTTGGAAGCGTTGCTAACTTGCAAAGGTGAGTTACAGCATAGAAATTTACTCAAGTGATTTCATTGCCTGGTTCTATAATAAGAAATAATTTGTGTATTTTTCCTTTTGTTCTTTCTAGAGTACATCCGCATGGCTGACCAGTATGTGCCAGTCCCCGGTGGCACCAACAACAACAACTACGCCAATGTGGAACTTATCTTGGATATTGCAAAGCGTATCCCGGTGCAGGCGGTCTGGGCAGGCTGGGGTCACGCCTCAGAGAACCCTAAACTGCCAGAGCTACTTCACAGGAATGGAATTGAATTTATAGGTATGATATTGATGAAGAGGGATTATTGGCCTTGTCGGTACAGATTTATTTTGTTTATGGGTATTTTAGTTTTTGCGTGAAATGAATGAACGCTGTGTGGACACATTTCAAAAGGAAAAGTGTTAAAAGAATAGTTTTAAACTGAGTGTCTTCTTCTGCTATGTTAGCTCACTGTATATCAGACTGAGTTCTTCACCTGACAGATGTTGACATGTACAACCATTTCCTTGTAGAATGTAGAGTCTGTCCCATTTTAGGCAATATTATGAAGTTCTCAGAGATACTCTAGGATTTTTTTTGTCTCCGAGGTACTTATAACTTTACATGATGACAGTAGTTTCTTTACTTTTGGTAGGGCTTACTGTTCTCTGATGGTTCATCATTGTGACATCTTTATCATATGCAAGGGCCCTCTGAGTTGTTTTACATTATCTTCATTTACTATGTACCCAGTCTCACCTACCCTGGAGACGAGGGTGTGAAAACTTGAGAGAAGACCCAAAATTATCTTTTGACCAGGCCCTCACAAATTCAGGATCAAACCGGGCACTTACGCATGAAGGCCAAGCATCTTACTTCTATGCTAATGAGTTCCCTCATTTTAGCATTATTTCCATTTGTCTACAGGTCCTCCTGAGAACGCTATGTGGTCGTTGGGAGACAAAATCGCTTCCTCCATCGTCGCACAGACAGCCGGGGTACCCACGCTACCCTGGAGTGGCTCGGGTATGTTCATCATGGTAGTTTTTATAGATTCACAAATAAGTGTCTTGGCTTAGGACATTGTATATGTACATTCTTAGTTCTCTCAGGTATATACAGACCTGCCAAGAAGTCTGATAAAGTCAGAATCCTCAGCATTCTTTTTTAATGTCTGTGGAAGAACCCGGATCGGATTTTCATAATATCCAAATTTTTTCTTGAATTACATTTCGCATACCTGCCAACCCGACTGAAAAAATCGGTAGATCATCGACTTTTTGGTCAATCTACCGATCCACCGATTTTGAGAGATAAACCACCGACTTCGTGATTCAGCAGGGTGACTGCCAGGCCCTGGGAATCACCCAGGAATTTGAGAAAGTTATCGAATATTTGAAAACCAAACCCGATAACGCCCTTAAGTTCATTTTTGCCGGTCATGATTGTGATATTCATTCGGCTTCCCCTAGAGTATGTTTCTTCACGCAGACAGGCGGCTATGGTGGCAAGCGGAAGTGTATGTGTGATACCGACGTTTGATCGGGATAATCAAGATATACTTTCACTTTCGTTACCACCCAGAAATTTGCTGGTAGTAGTTTGATAACGCAACATTAATTGTAACAACATGCCGGCCGTGCATGGCAAACACTGTGTCGCCTTGAAAATAAATCAATATTTGTCCTGTGCTGTCATTGTGAAAGAAAAGGAAAAGAAAAGAAAGTTATAGTTATACAAGCGTCTTGTCGGGCTCGCCATTGTGACCGGTCAATGAACCTGCGCGTTCCATCACATTGTGAGCACCGGCAATTGTAGGGGTCACCAAAGTTCATTCAAAGTGAGCGCTGCAAAGTATAGGACTCTGGAAGGGGGGGGGGGGTTATTGATTTTTTAAAAGATACAATCGGGGGAGGGGGGGGGGGGGGGGGGGGACAAAAACTGAACTTGGAAGCAAATTTTAGTATTCTAAATTTTTTGATTACTACTGGATCTAGATCTAGAACTGTCTGCAAAACGCGCTTTGGTGCAGGCCTTGTGTGGAGTCGGGATCCGTCGTACTCTTACCTTGTACACTCTGCAGAGGCAAAGGGCCAAGGCTAGGCCTAAGTCGTCCAAGGCCCACCTTTTCTTCATCTGTTCTTCTTTGCTTCTGTTTTTTTCCTCTGGTAGTTTTCATATTTGTCATATTTTTTTGTTCTTTGTCATTTTCTACTAAATTCTACATTTGTTTGAAGTCGCAAACACATTCATGCGTATGTGATGTGGGTCAAAATATTAATACGGGTCCCAAATTAAGTATGCGACAAGTGGTAATATGGCCGACTACAGATTTTTTAGGTCAACTACAGATTTTTTGACAAAAATTTGCGTCAACTACAGATTTTGCCCCTGGCAATGTTGGCAGGTATGATTTCCATCAGTCAATCACAGCTTTTGATAAATGACGTGTGAATACACCGGTTTATTTGCCATATTTGCACGACTTATTGTAAATGAGGAGACAATACTTTTTTATTTGTGCGTATTTGCCAATATCGATCCATAATGCAATCTGAATTTACTGGGATTCTGAAAACTCCCCCCGACTCCAATTTCCAAGAAAGATTCTGAGGAAAACTACTTTTTGTCATGGAGTGGTGTGCAGGTCTGGTACATACGTTTTTAATGTTTACAGTGGCATAAATCAGTGCTTTGGCACTGGTATATACATTGCCAGTATATGATTTTTAGTTATCAAAGGTTCACAAATACAAGTTCTCTAGTTGACATTGGAGCTTGTCATGTTCTGATGTGTTGGCCATTAAGTCAGTGAATGTAAAATTGACAAGACTTTTTTCTACAACATGGAATGCTGACTACTCTCCTGTATTTGAGCTGCATATTTTGGTCAAATCTGTTTAAACCAATGGGTAGGATTTGCTTTCTTTCAGAATTCAGGTAAAGACAGCTTGGACTACCTTAAATTTAATGGCTGGAGAAGCTGCTGTCAGACTTAAGGCTCTGTCCTTGACTGAACAGATTTTGAAAGCTTTCACCAAATTGGAGATTTGCACTGATTACCAGAGAAATAGATGTTTTGAAAAAAATTATTTTCTTGATACTGATTTGTTCTTCCTGGAGGATCAACTATGGCTGTAGCGTGGCTTTGGTGAAGAATGTTAATGAATCTCAGTAATAAGAGAATATTATTACAATAACGTCAGGGTATGTTATTATTGCTGGTGTTTATGCTGTGTGTGTGTGTGTGTGTGTGTATGTGTGCGTACATGATTTTGTGTGTGTATGAGTATGCTTGTGGGTTGATTTTGCTACTGAGCTACAGCTCGGGAGGATTACAAGTGTTGTTGTATTGTTCATCTTTCTCCCAGGTTTGACTCTAAGCCCCGGTGACATCAAAGGGAAGACTCTCATTGTGCCCTCGGACCTTTACCGCAAAGGCTGCTCCGCTGATTGTGAGGAGGGGTTGGAAGCTGCCAAAAGAATCGGTTTCCCTGTCATGATCAAGGCCTCGGAGGGTGGTGGAGGAAAGGGCATCAGGAAAGTTGAAAACGCAGAGGAGTTTCCCAACTTTTTCCGACAAGTAAGGATTTGAAGAAAATAGAAGGGGCTGTCCCCTACTTTAAGAAAACAACAAAGATTTACAACGAACTGCAACACATGACTTTCATCCTCCCACCCAGCAAAATGACAAATAAAAAAGAATTATTTGTCATGCTGGTGCCTTTTTTGTGTTCATTGAACTACTGAAAATTAAGTTGCATCACTCCCTGTTTATATTTTCGATACTGTATCAATAGATTGATGGAAAAAAATGAGGGCTACTTCTCAGTTGTTGTTATGTTGTTGTTATCGATCCAGAGCTTCTCAGTTATACTTTTTTTCTCATATCATCTTAGTTATTGCTGTTGTTCTTGTATCTTGTGAGATGTGGCCCATGGCTTTCATGTAATATTTGGTATGCTCTAGTGCAATGATTCTGTTAAGCTATTCTGTTGAAAGTATTGTCAAGGTTTATTACTACAAGGAAAGAAGTTGAGTCATCAGTTAATATTTTTATGTGTGAATAGACGTCCTACTGTTTCTTTGAAAGCAAAGTATTTTTATGTGAAGAGTATGTATTTTCTAATTCAAACATTTTTTGTTGAGAAGCCCCATTGTCTTATGTGCCAACCCTTTTTGTTATCTCCCTTTTCAGGTACAACAGGAAGTGCCAGGTTCTCCGATTTTCATCATGAAACTTGCGTCAGCTGCCCGCCATCTGGAGGTCCAGCTACTGGCTGACAAGTATGGCAACGCTATTTCCCTCTTTGGCCGAGACTGCTCTATCCAGCGGAGACATCAGAAGATTATTGAAGAGGCCCCGGCAGTCATAGCCAAGGCTGATGTCTTTGAGAGGATGGAAAAGGTGGGAACTGCTGTAGGGTGTTTAGGGTGGTGACAACATGTTTGGAAATTTCTAGAAGTCTTGTAACAAAGGATGCTGAAGCAGACCTGCCACTCATCCCGATTTAGTCGAGATATCCCGATTTTTTTTCCCCAAATCTCAAGCATCCCGATTTTTCTGATTTCGATCACGTGTATCCCGATTTTTTTGTCCCAGTCTGCTGTTGTGCCGGATTTTTTAAAAAACTTACTCTGCCTTCCCTTAATCGCGGGAAGCACCTGTTGAACTTTTTGTCAGTAGGAACTCGGAGCACTATTTCCTGAAATATCGATGCCTCATTTAGTAGTTGACTCGCCCCAAGTTGTGTGTGATCTTTGCCCGCACTCAGAATTCTCCGATGATAGCCTGGTAACTGTTGCAATTTGGGACATACAAATAATTGATAATAATTGTAGTTCCGCTGTTACTTTCAAAACAAGCCTTGTCCGAAGTCTGGTAACTGCGCGTTCACATCAAACACTCGGACGAGCGGCAGTCTTTCTAACCCTTACACAACTGTATGTGACTGTGCTGACAAGACTAACATACGGCCGTTGTCGTTGCTTTAATCTGAACGCTTTATGAGGGATAAGAGATTTGTTGGTACATTTGGTCGGTCGGCCGCCGTCGTTATCCTAGAAGTAGAATGACTGTCGCTCATCCGAGTGTTTTGTGTGAACGTGCAGTTAGTCGGACCCGTTAGTAAAATTGTTTCAATCGCGCATTTGTGTCAAGTGACATGACATCACCGTGTGAGTTTTGCCTCTCGGGGACTGTCCGTTGACGGGTCATGTATTTCGGGACTTATTGGTAGGGGGGGTATAGACACTTGGACTAGGAGTGCTTGAAGCGATGCTTCAGAATTTACAAAAAATAATGATAACTCGCACGCACGCACGCACACACACACACTCACACACACGCTCGCATGCAAACAAACAAAGACACACAGAAGGCATATAGGCCACGTTATTTATGGACACCTCTAGAAAAATTTTTAAGTCAGCTTTGGCAATCACCTTGGTGATTTCTGTTGATCCCGATTTTTTTCACCAAATCCCCATTTTTTCTCCCTGAGATCCTGATTTTTTGTGGTTTCTTAGAGTGGCAGGTCTGCTGAAGTGTTTTGTTTCTCTTTGAGTTTATATCCTCTGTTAATGGATGTGATGTCTCCATTTTCAGTTCAGAGAGAAAAAGAGACATTTTTGAGATTCCTTATCTTCCTTTTTTTGGTGAAATAAGTGGAAAACAAATCTGCACTTTGGGAGAAAGGGTCACGTGGGATTTAATGATAATAATAATAAATGGCATTTGTATAGCGCATGTCCCCACTCGAAAGCAAGCTCTATGCGCTTTACACTATATTATTACCCCAGCAGACCATAGAACACTTAGAAATATTCTCAGCTTCCCGGAAAGCATGCAGTGCAAGCAGCTGGTTAAGCGCTCAAACACTAACAAACTGACAAGATCTTTCACTGTCTATAGCTGGGTACCCATTTCCACCTGGGTAAAGTGAGGAAAATTCGTGTAAAGTGCCTTTCCCAAGGACACAATGTCGGACCTGCGGATCCAACCCCCGAACCCGCAACCTCACGATTACGAGTCCGATAGCCTAACCACTAGGCCACCGACGCCACAAAATTTAAACCTTCCATTTTGAAGACCTTTTTTTTTTCATGTGTCATGAAACAGAACCAACATTGTAGTCTATCCCTTGTGTACACCCAGCAATGACTGTAGTCCCCTCCTCTCTCTCTCCCTACAGGCTGCTGTGACTCTGGCTAAGATGGTGGGCTATGTGAGCGCGGGCACGGTGGAGTATCTTTACAACGCTGATGAAGACAACTTTCACTTCCTAGAGCTGAACCCCAGACTTCAGGTGGAGCACCCGTGCACAGAGATGGTAGCAGACATCAACCTGCCAGCGGCACAGCTACAGGTGAGAGAGATCAAAGAGAGATTGAGAAATTTGGTAGGGAGGATTTGTTATTGTTACTGGTCAAGCTATAGAAAAGCTGCATAAATACAGGTAAGATGCAAAGGAGATGGGGAATTTTAGTAGGGGACGTGTGTTGCTGTTGTTGTTCTTGTTGTTGTTGTTGTTTGTGTTGCTGTTTTTGTTGTTGTTGTTGATCTGCCTACTGCAAGAAAGAGATAAAGTTAGTTTGAGAATTTGATAGAAAAGAGTCAGTACTTATTTTTTTGCCTTTGCTCTGTCAATGTATTTGTTTTCACTTTTCTTTTCTGTTATGTGATTTATGATAATAGAGAGATGACTTGGGATAATAATCACTTTTGCAACTTACTTTTCTTGTAGTGCAATTTCCAAATGTCAGAGACTGTTTGCTCTATTATTTAAACAAAAGAACGTACATGAGTATTAATTTTGTTTCACATTGTTCTACCATTTGTGGCTTGATTGCATTTAAATTTGCATTTGACTGAATTTTTATAATTTGTGTGTATGCCTAGAGAAAGGTACCAAAAGTCGCCACAGACCATTTTGAGCTACAGGCTGATAATGAGAAAAAATCACTTTTTTGACCAAAATGTGTTTCCATAAAAAAATGATAGTTCCACCTTTTTTTAATGTGTTAAAAGGGTTTTCATTTATTTGACTTCTAAATATTTTATTGTGAATAATTTTGAGACTAGGGTATTTTTTAAAGAGATGATGAAAACTGCTTTTAGAAGGTGCTAAAATCTATTCTTGAAGCGTATTTTCTCTTCCCCGTTATGTTTTACCATTGAATTCTAATCCTGATATTGATGTCAACTGAACCCAAATTTCCTGGAAATGAATTTTCCATGAATAAATACATTAGAAACAAACGAATCATCGTTTTTTCAAGTTTGTATGTGTCCTAACCTTAAACCTAATTTTCTCAAAATCAGATCTTTATAACCTACCTCACAAAATGTGCAATATCTCAAAAAGTACTTGAGATATCTCAAAAAGTACTTGAGATATCTCAAAAATTCAAAACACCACTGTGTTCAGCTGTGAATTTCCTATAAGGTACAACCCTTAACTCAAAATGGTCAAAATCTGACTTTTGGTACCTTTCTTTAGGCATACACACATTTAATCAATTAAGTTCTTGCTCAAACCATCACTTGTGAATATATGTATGTTTAGTTTAGTGAGGTTTTTACAACGCTCGCAACTGCAAAAGGTCATATGAGCGCCATGCATATATGTATGTTTATCTCAAATTTTGTGGTAAGTTTTAGATACTTGTCCAGTTTAACTTCTTTGATAAAACCATCCTTTAAACCAATAGAACGGATTATGTTATCACTTTGCGTTACTGTTGTTGACAGGTGGCGATGGGTCTCCCTCTGTACCGAATCAAGGACATTCGAATTCTGTATGGCATGGAGCCCTGGGGCGATTCAGAAATTGACTTTGACGAGCCACAAATGAAACCTTGTCCCAGAGGTCATGTGATTGCTGCAAGAATCACCAGTGAAAACCCAGACGAGGTGATTATTGTCTGTTATAGGTTTTGAAGGAGAATTCAAAGGACACATTACTGACCGATTCTTTGCTTTTGGTGAAAATAGAATTGTAGTTTGTAACAAGGTATTCTGTCACAAATTCATTAAAAACAGCTCTTCAAAGAGGGCTTAGGCTTGACTCTGTGGCTTCTCCTGAAAAAATCTCATGCCACTTCCATGATGGACATAGGAATTTTCCTGCCTTTTTGTAGAATTGTCCTCAGTTGAGCTTTTGTTCAGATGTCATATGGTGACTGTTGGATAGTCTGTCTTGAAAGTCTGTCTTTGAAGTCTAATTTTCTTCTTTTGTATAGTCTTTAAAGTCTTGTCTTTGAATTCTAATTTTCTTCTCTTGTTAATAGTTTCTGTAGCACTGATATTCCTATGGCTGCATAGAATGCGTGACAAGGAGTTTTCTGTTTTTTGACACTTTCATTATAATTTGACTGAGATTTGTTGTGTACGTATGGACTTTCCTGTGAAATAAATGACTTTTTAATTTTTATCGCAAATGGGAGAAAGAGTGTGGTGTGTGGTACAATGTTTTTACAGTACAAGCTGTTGCTTTTAGGTTTGTTCACGATTACATTGGTCCTGTACACTTCTGGGTCAACAATGGCTCAAATTGTGTCTTGTTTTCTTTGCCCCAGGGATTCAAACCCAGCTCAGGAACAGTCCAGGAGCTGAATTTTCGCAGCAGCAAGAATGTATGGGGCTACTTCAGCGTCATCGCCTCCGGTGGTCTGCATGAGTTTGCTGATTCCCAGTTTGGACATTGTTTCTCCTGGGGCGAGGACAGGGAGGATGCCAGAGAGTGAGTCTTGTAAATTTAGAGTCTGTTCGTGTCTAATATCTCATCATTTCATCGTAAGTCTTTGTGGAGGCTAATTTGTCTCATTTTTTCTCTATTTTTTGTTGTTGTTGTTGGTGGAATTTAGATATACTCTAATAACAATAATAATAATAATAATAATAATTTTTATATAACATGCTTTGTGTGCTTTACAACTATTAATACAAGTACTTTTCTGTGAGATCTTTAGAAGAATGCTCAAATTGTAATTTGGTGCTGTTACTCATTTTTAGAAATTAAACTGTTTAGATGCACGTTTCTTTTGGCCTTGCTTATTGCTTTCGGTGGAAGCATCATGACAGCTTCACTTTAGCTCTCTAAACTGTGGTGATTTATTTAAAGTTCTAAAAGAAGAAATCGGTATTATACTGTTCAGTAATATATATCCAGCATTTATGTCTTTGTCCAGGTAAACATTGTCTTGCTTTTGAAAGGCTTTAATCAGAGTTAACTTTATATTTTCTTCTTTTCCTTTCATTTTGTTTGTTCCAGAAATCTTGTGGTGGCCCTGAAGGAGCTGTCTATCCGAGGCGACTTCCGCACGACCGTGGAGTACTTGATCAAACTGTTGGAGACTGACACCTACCAGAACAACGGGATCACCACCGCCTGGCTGGACAAACTGATCGCAGAGAAAGTCCAGGCAGAGAAGCCTGACCTCATGCTTGGTGTGGTCTGTGGAGCTCTGCACATCGCTGACCAGGCAATTCTCGGGGGATTTCAGGAGTTCCAGACCTCTCTGGAAAAGTGAGTTCAACATTTTTCATGTCTCGAACATAGTTTCAAGAAAGAAACTTTTATTAATTTAACCGTTATTTTTGTTGCAGATCATCTGTGTTCGGTCTTGTTCTATTTATTTTTTTAAAGGTAGAGGTTTGAATCGTTTGTTTTCTATTACAGTTCTTTCATAGGAGGTGGACAACACAAACATGATTGCCCTTACTTATGAGGCAAGCTGGAAAATTCACCATAAAAAACGTAAGAGTAGATTAAGAGTAAGGTGCACTATGGCAACTTGAGTGACATCCAGAATTGATTATGAAAAGACAGGATGCATTGATGTTGTCTTTACTGTGTACTAAGATTTTATAGCATGTGCAAAAGTTTTTGTGTATTGGAGAATCAAGCTTAATTCATGTATACTTAAACATTTCTGTTTGTTTTTTCATTTTACCAGAGGTCAAATTCAGCCGTCATACTCCTTGAAGAATTGTGCTGACGTCGAGTTCATCTTGGAAGGGATCAAGTTTAGACTGAAGGTCAGCATCCCTCTTTAGTTCTAGTAATTTGTATATTATTATCATAAAATGAAATTAATATTCGATTTTGTAACAGGTACATTAAAAAAAATTAACGGCCAAGGACATTTGAAAAATGTACCCAGACCTTGAGGATACTTACATCTGTAGGTGATTGTAGATAATTGTGACTGTGTTGCGACAAGAATACTCTTGTCTGTAAAGTTTTTGTTTCAGTTTTTTGTGTGCAGTGACCAGCGAAACTTTAAGTGTTTACTTTCAGCCTGACAAGGGACTGATCCTTTTTGTGTGCTGGGGCCCAAAGCAGCCGACTTGGATCTGTCTTAAGATTGACCCTGTTTTATTTTATGTTTTTTCTTTGGACATTTTTTTCCATAACATATTGGGGAAAAAAAAGCTCAAATTATATCACTTTTTTTGTGCTTACAACATTTGCTTCAAAAGATGATCTGTTGAAGCTTTCTTTAAACTTGATACATGTGTCTCTACAAGCGTGATTTTTACAAATTCTCAACTTTATCATGTGCTCTCATAATGAAATGTTCTTAATTTTCATCTCATGTTCTCAATGCTTTGTCGATGAAAAGAATAAACAAAACTCGGTTTTGAAAAAAGCAAAATGTTGGACTTGATCACCCAATGGGTCATGTATGATTTTATTCATATTCAGGGAAAATGTTCAATGATATTATTTTTTTAAAGTGTCATGCTTTCATGTTGATTGCAAAGGAGGAAACATCGATAAGAGTCTGATGAGGTATTTTTTTTTAAAAAAATGTTTTTTTTGCTTCCCCAGGTTGTGAAGACAGGTCCCATTGGTTATCTGTTGGTTATGAACCAGTCGACCCTTGACCTGGAGGCTCACAGGCTCAGTGACGGGGGTTTGCTGCTTTCTGTGGGAGGCTCCAGGTACACACAGCTGGAGCTTGTCTATCATAGTATAGTCTCGCTAATAAATAATATGCAATGTTTAGGGTATATTTCTTTCTTTCTAGTATTATATAACTTATAACGCTAACTAAACCTCTCTTTTTGGTCTCCGTCAAGCTGTTACATCTATTATCTATTTGTGGTGGCCGAATTTTGCTATTCAAAAGGCTTTTTAATGGCTTCATCGATCGACATGCGGTTTTCGCCAAAAAATTCTTTAAAATATTCTCCAGAGCATGGCGCCCTTGTTTTTTTCAGTTTTGAGACAGTTTTGCTGCAAAAAGCTAAATTTCTTTATTTCGCCGATCACTTTTGTAGGCCGATGCTTCTGTCTCTGTAATTTTAGAAAATCCGGAAGTGATATTTCGCGAGGCGCATTTTGTTTTGAGAGTATAGATCTAGACCTTATAATTTTTTGCATCTCTCAAGATTTATTGCCCCATTCCATTAGAGTGTAAATATAGTAGGCCAATGATGTTTAGTTGATATTAAAGCACCGGCCTAAACGGTTAGTATAAGAACGTATAGGCACCACTGATCATTCCTTTCATCGAAAGGGGGCCCAGCTAGTAACTTTTTAAAGTATGAAGTGCTTGAAACTTTAAATATATCAGAAGTGCCAATTTTCCGTATGAATCCAGAAATTGTGCAGAATAAATGTGTGTCTAATTATACATTTATTCAAATCTTAATCTTGTTGTGAATGTCATGTTGCACTGTATATTAAAACAGACTTGTTACAAGATGTATTAGACAATATGATCCATAAATTTTGAGTAGCTGTGCGCACGTTTAGATTTTCTTTCCTTGCCATTGTATCATATTTTGGTGCAAGACCTTTATGTATGGAATTCTTTCGGTTTTTTTTCACAATTCCAGTCTAGTAATTGTACAAAATCTCTTGTGGAAGTATATAATGATGTTTTCTTTCCACAGTTACACAACATACATGAAGGAACAAGTGAACAGTTACAGAATCACCATCGGCAATCAGACCTGTATACTGCAGAAAGAGAATGACCCAACAATTCTCAGGTAGCTCAGGCTTTGGGAAAGAACACGTAGAGTTGATAGGGAGTATATGGGAGGAGAAAGTATTTTATGGTGGTAATTATCATCTTCGTAGTTTGTCAACATTTGTGATAGAGACGTGTAATTCAGAGCCGGCTTTTGGATGGAGCTCCAATGAGATTTTTGGGCGGTGGGCTGCTTTGCAGGACAACTAGTTTGTGAATGTTGTGGATTCAGAAACATACTCAAATGACCTGCCCAACCCATCACACTTACCTTCATGTTGACTCATAAATTTACCAGTTTACAATATTAATGGGTCTTCTCTAGCATATAGTTGTCCTGATGTGAAATCGAAGTATTGTTGCCGTAATTTTAAGATGTAAAGGTATTTTCATCTATGAACTGGTCTCTGCAGGTCCCCATCTGCTGGCAAACTTATCAACTACCTGGTGGATGACGGCGGCCATGTTTTTGCTGGTGATGTGTTTGCTGAGATTGAAGTCATGAAGATGGTGATGGAGCTCAGGGCCACAGAGAATGGATGGTGAGTCTGGAATAGAAAGAAACGCATTTTGAACATAGTTGCCACTTTCCCGCTAAATAGCGGAAACTCCGCTTCACATCTAGCTTTTCCTGCTACTTTCCTCCTTCCTCTGCTGGGCTGCTCTCGGTGGCAAATTGCGATACTTTTTTTTTTTTGCACGCAGAAAACACTGAACCGGGAGAGAGGCGCAAACGCGGCTTGTGCATGTCCGTCGTAGTTTTCTACTTCCGTTCTTCTAGGCCTAGCACTAGTTTCACTTTGTTTATTGTGAAGCAACAAAGTGTCGATCGAGCATCGGGACGTTGGCGCGCCGAGTTGTCTTTGAAAACGGCGAAAATTTGAGAGAAATTGATGCAGAATGCAAAAATAAAAGGAGCTGGAATGAGAAAGAAGCAGCAGGTGTGCGACTTGAAAAGTTCATTAGAAAATTGAACAAGCCGCTTGCTGCACTTTGTGTCGGTGCGATTAAGAAATCGCAGCACTCTTACTCCTGTACAATTGCGGTCCCATTTGTTTACATGACGGCTATTGTGGCTGTAGAAGTGAATCTAGATCTAGTTCTAGATAATCTATCTCTAGACATATCGACACATATTTAGATTTCTAGATTTAGACTAGATAGCCTAGGCTTTTATTTTAATTCAGTTTAGATCTCTAAATAAGAAACACACTACAGGGGCACTAATAAGTGCAAACGAGACCGCAATTGTTCAGGAGTGCCGAAATCGGTCAGTACAGCGGCAAAGGTGTTGTCGTCCTTGATCCAATACTGCTCTACATCGATGTACAAGTTTAAAGTGAAAGAAATCTTTTTATGAGACACCAGCTAGCAATAAACACTGGATATTTAGTCACCAAGTCCAAACTGTGTCAAATTGACTCTTATGCTTGTTAGTCAACTTAGTGCCTTTGGGTTTTTTTTGTTTTTTTCAAATACATTTTAATTCAGTTGCCTATTGTTAACAAATATGACAGTTTTTTCCTTCCAAAACCGTAGGCTAGATTTTCCAGCATATATTGCCTCTGGGTCTCACTGGTTTTACTGCGGCCTTCGGAGAGCGCGCGTATGCCTTTGCGTGAATTTCCTCCTTTTTTGAGTGGCAGCTATGCTTAAAGTTCAACTCTTTGTACTCTAACAAGGTGTTGTAGATTGGAAGGTTCCAGAAGTCTCAGATTGCTTTGGATTTTTGGTAGTGTACAGTTTCTGTTCTTTTCTGTGGGCTAAGTCTATGATTTTGATTTTTTAAAAGTCTAATGTAAGGATCCCTTTTCATGTACAGTTCATTCATCGACAGACTGACGGTTTAACCGACAGACGCCAGATCTGGGTCATAGTTGAACTGAAAGTTTGTCGACGAGAGAAGTTCCATTTAGACATATAGTTTTTTTTATCCTTGAAGTGTCAGTCCTTGACAAAATACACAAAACACACAAAAAAAGATTAAATGCTCTCTCCTCATCATGCCTTCAGTTCGCTGGCCGGAAAATATCTAGCTTCACCAGATATCTGGTGGCTGTACTGAGAACCCTTCAATATCGAGAGGATTGCTCGTTTCCACGCTCAGTTTTATCGGAAAGTTGACAGGATGCCCGCCATTCTTTCGATTTCCTACAGTTTGTCGATCAATGAACTGTACGTGTGAATGGGGCTTCAGAATGCTTAGTAGTTTTTTTTAACGAAAGTTTTAAGATTTTGAATTATGATCTGTGAAAGTTCATGTTATTTTTATAACATAAAACTTGTTTATTTTTTTAGATCATTTTGAAAGACAATTGTACTCAACTGTTATATCAGGTGCGTTGTGTTTAGTTTTGAATATCTCAAGTTTAAAAAAATTTTAATTTGATGTATTCTTTTTAAAAAAAACTTCTAAACTGTAAAATTTCTCTTTGTATTTTTGTTGTTGACAGCGTTCATTATTCAAAGAGACCTGGTGCTGTGCTGGATGCTGGGAGTGTGGTGGCTTATCTGACCCTGGATGACCCCAGCAGAGTACAAATGGTATGGATTGTGCTCCCTGTGGGCATTGTATGTGGTTTTTTGTGTGTGTGCCTGGTGAAAGGTACCAAATGACGCATTGAGAGTTTTTGCATTTTTATGTACAGGGATGATTTCTGAACAATATGCATTTTGAATTTTTAAGATATCTTCAGCAGATATTGAGGTATGGGTGATTTTGTAAGGCAGGGTACAGAAACAGAGTTTTAAGAAAAAGGGCTTTAAAGTTTACCCTTTGTGTTTCAGCTTCAAATAGATAGAGCTACGCTTCGAGATGACCTGACAACACATTCACTACTCGCAAGCCAACCTTAAAGAGCTGCTTCACAGTGTTTATATTACGTCTTCTGAACAAATTCTACACCACCTTGAACAAGAATTTTCAAGAAACAGGGCACAAAAAAGCGATATAAGTTTGCTCTACAAAAAAGCTAAAGGGTGTGAATGCGCAAAGCTTTGCTTTGTTTACATGTTATAGATATTCATGCGCACTACCCGCCACTAGAGAGAGGAGAGAATGACCTAAATTTTGGAATGCAATGTGATTGGGTTGACTTTATGAATGGACAAGAGAAACCCTCTGCAATGTTTACTCAGAAAATCTATTTTTTAACGCATTTTCTAGGATTATGCAATATACTTTGTGTTAAAAAGCATCTTTAAAAATGTATTTTAAAGTAAAAGAAACTCAAGTCCTTGTAAATATCAATATATCAATGGCTAAAATATCCATTTTTAATGGGACTTAGTTTTTGTCAAAAATTCTATTTTTGACCTCTGAAGCCTGATATCTCAGTTGGAGCAAATGCGTCTTTTGGTACCTTTCACCAGGCACGCTCACATTTGGTTGACTTTGATCTTTCTTGGAGCCTATAATTTTTTGGTTTTGGGAGTTCCTTATTATACCTCAATTCCAAAAGAAAGGTCACCACAATTATTAGCCTTGACTTCATGTCAGCCTAAAATTAATTTTGAATATATTATAAACTTTTTGAAATATTAGAAGGTTAAGATTTCCAAGTGTATATTGTGGAAATAGTTTTGGTTATCGGAAAGCAATATGTTGTATATGGCAGACTGAAATACGAGACGTGGGACCTTGATGAAACTCTTCAAGTACTGTCTCTTTTAGTTAAAATGTTATAACTAAATGCCTAATTTTCAAAAAAGAAGTTAATGTCTCATATGAGAGCACCAGGACGCTCTCCGCTGGTCTTATTTTCTGAAGCTTCAAATGCTTGTCATGGCCATACAAGGAAATCTGTACATGGTTTTTAGTCTTCAGGCTATTACAATCTCTTTTAATTTAATTGATGGGGTCACCACACAGATATATTCAAGTATTTCTGTTTTTAAAAAATGAATTCTGGTGTGGTTGCTCCTTCTTTCCTATTAAACATCTGTCGTCCTTATCTCCCCTCCTTCTTTTTTGTGTTTGTTACTCTCTTGTAACACCTCTAATCTTCTGGTGCTCATATGACCTAATGCAGTTTCGAGCGCCGTAAAACCTCTACTAAAACTAAACTAACTAAAAAATGAATAGTACATTAATTGTAAAATAGCTTGTGGATAAAAGAGGCCTAGGTTAAATCTGCTCTGTCATCCCAACCCCTCCCCCATCTCACCCCATAGGCCAAGCTCCATGAAGGCCCCCTGCCCACCCAGGAAAACACGGCTACCCATGGAGACAAGCAGCATCAAGTGTTCCAACGCGCCAAAGCCGACCTTGACAACATTCTGTCTGGCTACATCCTCCCCGAGCCTCAATTCCGCGAACGTCTCAGTCAAACAGTCGGACGCCTAATGAAGTGTCTCAAGGACCCAGCCCTGCCCCTGTTGGAGCTTCAGGTTAGGAAGTGGTGACTGTACTACTCACCAGTTTGAAATTTTGACGATTTTGAAATCTCTATAACATAGTTGAAAAAGAAATGTCATTATCTCGATACGGAATTAAGTTACGGCCTCGATATTTACAGAGGTAAAAGAGCGGCTTAAACTCTCACTACCCATATCGATTGTTCCATTTTGATCGAAAGTGGATTTAGTCACTTCTTGACCTCAGCCATCAAAATGGCGTATCAGATATACCTACAGACTTCAACATAAGTTAACGACCACCTTGACAGACAGCTCTGATTTTTTTTTAAATCGAAAAAAAGACAGCAAGGAATGTTTCAAAATATTTTGCTCTGAAATTGTTTGTGGGTTACAAATGTGTACTGCAAAGCTTCCAAAAGGGGCAAAATCACCACGTGCAGCTCGGAAATCCTCTGGGAATTTCAGCCAAATTTGCTTTTTTTTAATCGACTTGTGTGCAACACCATCAACATTTCTCAGTTAAAATATCTGGTGCATGTCATAAACGGACGTACGTCTCGAACTATGCTCACTTAGGTGGCATACAGTCTCGAACTATGCTCACTTTGGTGGCAATATAAGCCGCCGTTTGTGCGCAAAATCCAGTATTGCATCAACATGCCATCGGGACAAAAACTGAGAGACTTTGATCGTGCCAGAGCTGTGGCATGGCTGCAGGATGGAGTTGGAGCCCTTGAAGTTGCAAGAAGGCTTGCAGTGTCACTCTCTGTCATTGACAGCTTGAGGCTGCACCATCAAGCCACTGGGTCAGTCCAAGAATGCCCATGTGCAGGTCGATCCAATGAGACCACTCAGAGTGTTTGCTAGTGGTCCTTAACTTATGTTGAAGTCTGTATAATGAATTGAATTGTCTTGATGCCTCTGACTGAATTATACTTAGTTAAAAATATACTTTTTCGTGTTTACCACTTTACTTGCTTTGGATACTGTTTAATATATCCATCGTTGAAAAAAGTTCACTATTCAGGCAAAATCAAAGCTTGGCTGTATGGGTTGGGTTTTTTTAATGCCTTTAATTTTAGTAATGCATACTTTCTATTATTTTTTTTTTCTTTTGTGTTTAATGATGAGGGTGCTTCTCCTTTTAAATCAGTAAATTAAGTAAGGGTAACTGTGTTCTTTTAGATTGTCTTCACACAAAAATGATTATTGTTAATGGTATTTTGTTTGTTTTTTTCTTAATTTTTTAGGACCTGATCTCCATGATTCAAGGCCGAGTGCCCCAGCATGTAGAGAAATCCATACGCAAGCTGATGTCTTCCTATGCCAGCAACATCACATCTGTACTGTGCCAGTTCCCTAGCCAACAGGTGAGAAGGTTTTCTAGAGTTGTTGCTTGTCAGGCAAAATTGTAGGTCCTCTGTTGGTTTTCAGCTGTCATTAAAGTACAATATATGCAGTTTTTACAATTTTACAAGAGACCAAAAAAAACAACTGAATGTTGTTACCAAGAAAATAAGGAAATTATTGTCAAAATTGTATCATTAGAAAATTTGACTTTGGATGTTTGTAGAGTTTGTTTCTTTTGTAACAATATTTAGTTTTTTTTTAGCTCTTCTGTAAAATCGTAAAAGCTGCATGTACTGTACTTTGGAAAATGACAGCAGTTTTGTAGGGTTGTTAGGTTACAGGTAAATGAACGAGTAATCTGTAGGTTTGTTGTTTTAGTAGAGGTTTTACGGTGCTTGCAACTGCAGAAGGTCATATGAGCGCCAGAATCTGTAGGTTGAAGGAACTTTTGTTGGCCACCTGTGAGGTGTAAACAGGGGACCCAAAAGGAGAGGATTGCCAGACCTCCTTGTTTAATTTATTAAATCTTATTTCACACCATGAGGCTGTCCTGGGCCTGGCAGCAAGGGGGTTCGACTCAAATTATTTAATTTGAATTGGTTTGTGTCTATAATGGCCATTTTTATTGTGTATCTTTGTCAGTCAGTCTGCTAGACTGATAAGTGATGTGCAGGGATTAAACCCAGATTGAAATTTTATCAATGTGGGACACAAACCGCTTGCAAGAAACCATTATGAACTGCTAAACTTTCTTGGGTGGTATTTCACAACATTTACTGAATTGTTTACATGTGCACATAAATGGTGCTTAAACGAAAGACTTTGACATCTCAAACAGATAAACTAGTTATAATAAGTTTAAATATTCTAATAATTGATTAACAATATGCCCCCCCCACCCCCCCCCCACACACACACACAAACACACACTCACACAAACACACACACTCCCACCAACAGATCGCTAGCGTGATAGACACGTATGCAGCCACCCTGAACAAGCGCGCGGACCGTGATGTGTTCTTCATGACCACACAAGGCATCGTGCAGCTGGTACAGCGCTACAGGAACGGCATCCGTGGACACATGAAGTCAGTGGTGCAGGAGTTGTTGAGGCATTACCTCAGGGTGGAGCTGCAGTTTCAGCAAGGTAAATAGATGTAGATTGTGTGCTCTTAGTAAAGTATAGAGCCTTAGAGAAGAGCTACAGTTTTCTTAAGGTAAAGAGACATAGATTGTGAGATCTTAGTAAAATGTAGAGGCATTACCTAAGGGTGGAGCTGCAGTTTCAAGATAGTTCTGAAATGTGAACACGAAGATCAGGGTTGTTTTTTTCATGAGTGCAGTCCAACATTTGATCCAGGAGAGTTCAGGTGTATGGTCCCAATCAGTTCAGGGTGTATGGATCAGAACATTAGATTTGACCCGCACTGACATTATTTGATCAGACTATTTCTGTATTTTTACATTGTTGAAACCTGTGCTTTTCCTATCCATTCTCAGATTCGTATGATAGATGTGTGTGTTAATATTTGCAGGTTCTCATGACAAGTGTGTGTGTTCTATTTGCAGGTTCCTATGACAAATGTGTGTGTTCTATCCGAGAGAAAAACAAGGATGACATGCTGTCTGTGGTACAGACCATTTTCTCTCATGTCTCAGTGCAACAAAAGAATTCCTTGGTCATCATGCTCATTGTGAGTCCTTTTTAAAAAATTGTTCCTTATCTTACATGTAAGTGATGTATAAATAGCTTAGGAAGGCATTTAAAAAAAAATGATAAAGCATTTTCTTAAAAATTGAACAATGAACTGATTTATTTTGAAAGTTGATTTTAAGAAAACAGAAATCACTATGGATTAAGTAGGAAAAGATTTTTCACTGAAAAGTTAAAATCTATTCTTCTTCTTGGAAACAAACAAATGAATAAGACCATTATTGTGGAACTTTGATGTTGAGTAAAGAACATGGGAGCCACTACGCTATACAGTCATATCTTCCTGCATAAGTAGCTCATTCGTTTGCTTGCATCGGTGATACTGAGGTCACTTGTCTTTCTCAGGTAATTTGTCATGCAAATGGTTGGAGGGGGGTACTGTTAGGTCCTGCTTTTTTTTTTCCCCTGTTTAAAAAGTTTTTTTGTCTCCTTTTTCTCAGCTCGAAATGGCTGGTATGGTGTCAATGTACTCTTTCCTCAAACAGTGGGCGGTTGATGGGCGTTCTAGTATTGTCTGCTTCTTATTGCTTGTCAAACATCTATCGTCCTCATCTCTCCTCAATTTTTTCTTTGTGCTTTACTCTCTGACCTTTACTCTTTGGCATTCATAGAACCTATTTGTGTTGCAAGTGCCGTAAAACTCTTACTAAAACTTAAACTTTCCTCAAACAAACAAGTAGTACTTTTCTCAAACAAACAACTAGTCTTCTTGTACATTCCCCGGGTGGGTGTTTAAGGGGTGTTCTGGTGTGGTTGCTCCTTCTTTCCTATCAAACATCTATCTCTCCTTCTTTTGTTGTGTTTGTTACTCTCTTGTAACGTCTCTAATGTCTGGCTCTTGTATGACCTGATTATGTTACAAGTGCGAAAAACTCTAGCTTTAACAAACAAACACTCCCCAGGACCATCTGTGTGGCAAAGAGCCTGGCCTCACTGATGAGCTGGCCTCCATCTTGAGCGAGCTGACGCAGCTGAACAAGTCGGAGAACTCCAAAGTGGCGCTAAGGGCCCGCCAGGTCCTCATTGCAGCTCACCTGCCTCCCTACGAGCACCGGCACAACCAGATGGAGTCCATTTTCCTCTCCGCTATCGACATGTCTGGACATGACTTCTGTCCGGAGAATCTACAGGTGAGATGAGTTGGTTCTCACGCAAAATATTCCAAGTTGTAAATTCTTATGATGGTCCTAAATAATTAAGATCTGTACATTTCTTTCTTTAGCATTTCAGGCTAGTGAGCAACTGGTGAGGGAAAAAGACCAGGATTAAGTCGGATTTTTTAGAGTTTTTGAGCTGGGAAATGAGTGGCGTATCATAATTGCTGATGTGTATTTCAGACCTGGCACTTGGTGAAGAATAAGTTGAGATGGAAGAAAATTATTTGGCTTTTCTGACTTACAATGTGCTGTGCTGCACCTCAGTTCCTACCTCTTCGTATTTAAAGGTTTCTTCTGATTCAAGTTCAAGTGATTCTTCGCTTACAGCTTGGCATTTAAGGTGCTATTTAAATTATATAATTAATGAATTAGTTAAACTATCCTCTATGTCTTTTTCAATATGTTATCATTCCCTACAAGAGGAAACTATCAAATTTTTTAATGCTTGAATTCTGAAAAGTGGTTGTTTAACAGCTATATTTTATCATTATGCTTAGGTTTTCTATACTCATTTGATCATTCCCCACATTATTCATTCTTCTGTTACAAATGTTTTTTTTATCAAACAGAAACTGATCAACTCAGAAACCGCCATCTACGATGTGCTGCAAGAGTTCTTTTACCACAGCAACGAGGCTGTGAGAAGGGCTGCTCTTGAAGTGAGTGACATTATTGTGGTGGTTTCCCCTCCTTTTAGATAGTGTTGGTTTTCCCTCCCTATAGATGAATGATCCTGGGGATGAGGAGATTTGTGTTGCTTGGAGTATATTGTGACTTAATACAACAGACAGTAGTCATCTTTCCTCCTAATAGTCTAAATTCCTTGGGAAGAAAAGATGTTTTGTTCCTGCAGGATATTGTGAAATAATTGAATAAGAAATACTTGATGCGGACGATGTAGGAGCTTGTTAAAGTTAATAAACATTTGCCAGTTCTGATTCCTGTTATGTGCAAACATGTTTTCTTTGAAACAGGTCACTTCATAAATATCTAGCCCTCAAATGCAAGTAAAGTGCAATGTTATGTCTACAGTGTCTACACTTTTTAAAAACATTTCAATTCCTGTTGAAATTAGAGAATTCAGCCAGTATCATTAACATCAAGTTTAGATGTGGGTGGCTGAAAAATGAGGGATACTCTGTGCAGAAAAGTAAATGGTTATGTATGTCTTTAGTTTCAGTGTTAGCCAAAAGTCATGCGTTCAACTCACCTGGTGATTTAATGTGTGAGAGAAGAAGAGAAAAGGAAATTTGAGCTTTAGTGTGTGAGAGAAGATGAAGAGAAGAAGAAATTTGGGCTTAATGTGTTGGAGAAAAGGAAAAGAGAAAGAAGTTTTAACCATAATTTTTTTAAGAAGAGGAAAAATGGAAAGAATTTAAGCTGTAGGGTCTTAGAGAAACCGAAAAGGAGAAGAAGTTTGAGCTTTAATGTGTGACAAAAGCGTAAAAGAAGAAGTTATTTGAGTTGTTCTTGTTTCCCTCCCCCGAAGGTGTACATTCGTCGTGCGTACATCGCGTACGACATGAACTGCATGCAGCACAGTCAGCTGGAGGACGGCCGCTGTGTGGTGGACTTCAAGTTTCTGCTGCCTCGGTCGCATCCCAACAGGTGAAACAGCTAGATGGTCAATGTGACAAATATTTGAGGATCAATTTACTAGATGATTTGAGGGTCAATATTGTTGATACTTAGAGGATCAGTTTGATAGATACTTTTGGGGTCAATTCGATTGAGTCTTTGAGGGTCAATATTATAGATATCAATTTCATACACACCTTTGTCACCCATGCTGTTTATTTCTTACAATGATGCTGAATTAAAGTATTGCCTTTTCATTGTCTTATCTAATTCATTTTTTTAAAGCCTTATGCTGAGGGTCTCTAGGTGTACTACTGAGGATAATGGTGTAGAGTGAAGGAGTAGATTTGTATTGTGTGTAGCTTGTTATTACCTAGAAATTGATTTTTTATTATTTTCTTTTCTGCCTTCTTGGAACCATTTGTGAAGCATGTTAACAAAATGAGTCACCTCTCACAATCCTTGAATGGAGTTATCTTCTGAAAATTAATTAATATATCAATTTCATACACACCTTTGTCACCCATGCTGTTTATTTCTTACAATGATGCTGAATTAAAGTATTGCCTTTTCATTGTCTTATCTAATTCATTTTTTTAAAGCCTTATGCTGAGGGTCTCTAGGTGTACTACTGAGGATAATGGTGTAGAGTGAAGGAGTAGATTTGTATTGTGTGTAGCTTTTTATTACCTAGAAATTGATTTTTTATTATTTTCTTTTCTGCCTTCTTGGAACCATTTGTGAAGCATGTTAACAAAATGAGTCACCTCTCACAATCCTTGAATGGAGTTATCTTCTGAAAATTAATTAATATATGGGTCAAATTTGTTGATTTTTTACTGTTGTCATTGTCTTCAAGTTAACATGTCTTTTATCATTTCATACGAATAAATTGTAAAAACTCAACGTATGAATTGAAATCTTTATACAGTAGGCTATACAATCTGAGAAGTAATTCATTTTGTCAGCATGCCTCACATTGGACTTTAATAGATTTTTTGTTTTTACCAGTAGTTCTCGTGTGGTAAAAGTGGGGTGATGCTATTGTGCTCATTGTTGGATTTTGGGTTTGGTAATGAATAATTTTGTTTTATTTGCACAAAATTAGAGTCACGAATGGGTTCCTTTAACCCTTTAAAAATGACTTGTTTTGCATTCCCTGGTGTGTAAAGATGTGGAAAAGTGTTCAGTTCCATGACATACCAAGTTTGTCAATATGACACTGAAGGGGTCACAATATTTTATGGATAGAATATGAACAATAAACTGTTTTGCTGCCGAAGCATTTAAAGTGAGAAGGCAAAGTAACTGAGAATTCAAACTTTTTGATGAATATGTGATTATGGTAATGAAGGAACAACATATTGTGTACTCAAATTTCTTGGCTAAGGATCATTTGGGTGTTGTGTCAAGTTACTTGTTCAGTCAGGGGTGAAATTTCTCTTCCATATTACATGGACCACAGGTGGACATACTGCTGTGTGATGTTTATGAGCTGTCAGTGCAGCTTCATTTCGTGGTTCTCTGATGTGAAGGATCAGGTTACGAATGTACAGCTTAGTTAGCCTTATTGCCATGACAGTTACTGCACTGGTCATAATAATGAGCTGTACACCCCTCTCCTCTTCTCTCTCCCCCCCCCCACACACACTTATGTACAACAGCTTGCTTTGCAAAATGATAGATAGAGACCTATAAAGTTTTTTATGAGTTTTGTCTGCGCTAGCTACATTTGTAGCAGTTGTCTGGGAAGAGTAGCGTTATCAGTTGTTGATTTCGTTCTCTGAAGGAGAGTAGTGCTGTCAGGTGTTTTTCTCCAGTCCAGAGTGAGTTTTGTCTTCGGATTTCCTATCAAAATGTGTCTGTCAGAGAAAGCCGCTGGCATCACTTTAAAAAAAAATCTATGACAGCTTCAACAAGTATATCAGGGAAATGTGTTCTGTAGACCAAAAAATTACTGTAAGAAGTGGAGAAAGTCAAATTGTATTTTTCATATTTGACATTGTGCTTGTTATAAGCAATGAAGAAATATATTTTTAAGCCCTGAAGCGTTTCAGAGAAACATATTAAATGAGACAGAAGAGATTTCTTAGCATTGGAGAGAGTTGAATGCTTGTCTGTGCATAAGACTCTGTGCTTGCTTCAAGCAGTAAACTAATTTGTTCACTGTTTATACGACTAGCAGGTTGACGACAGTGCATTTTTGTGGTCTCCCAGCTTGGCTTCAAGTTGTGCATAATCTGCATGGTAATTGTTAACTCCTGTATGCTATTGTACTAGGGGTAATATAGATGTGTTCAGGGTTTTATTTATGGCTGGTCATGACCACTAAATGACCGTTGTAGGCCAGGTTTATGATAGCCCATAAAATGTGCTTGGTTTAGATGACTTTCTGTGAAAGCTTCCAGTAGAATGAGAATATTTCAGTAGTGTGTCTTGTGCCTGAGGCTGCCGTGTAATCTGATTAGAGTGCAACCATTTTTGAATGTGTAATGAACGGCACTGGATAGGTGATCTCGTGGACCAGCTGAGTTTCTGTCTTTGTTGTCGTGAATCTGGTTTACTCTGTTACCTTCAGATTGGATAGATCGTTCTTTCATATGGGATATATTATTGTTCTTTCAGACTGGATTGATTGTGCTTTTAGATTGGATAGATTGTTCTTTAAGACTGGATAGATTGTGCTTTTAGATTGGATAGATTATACATTCAGATTATATCGATTGTTCTTCTTTCAGATTGAACAGATTATATTGTTCTTTCAGATTAGACAGATTGTATCTTCAGAGTGGTTTCAATTGTCTACAGCCGGTGGTTAGGCATTTTACTGTCGTGCGCAAGAGACCTGAGTGCAATTTCCCGAGTGGAGAGAACATTTTTATCAAGTATTGCAGTCTTTCTTCTGGGATGTTGTATTTCTCTCGGCTCAAGTTGGTCCTGACGGGAAAGGTCGGAAGTTTGCTTCCTAAATGATCGAAATTGTGTTGATGGGGGGCGTAAAAGCACTTACATTATAAAAAGAAATTTTATTATGAATTAACTTTTGAAGCTGAGGAATGATTCTGCATTGTGCAGTGCGTAAAGCCTTCTAGGGATTACGTGCGATATATATTCCAATTATTATTGTTATTGTTATTGTTATTATGATTATTTTCTGGGTTTTCCCCACTAGTGTCAGACTCATTAAATTTAATGGGCAGCTACCCCTTGTCCTTTTGTCGAAAAAACTCAGTAGTGTCTTTTTTTTTTACTTTGGCTTGGGTAAAAAGATCTTGCATTTTTTTTTTCAAACCATTCCAGAATGATGGTGACCCGGTTTGAGAGTGGCCTGTTAAGACTAAACAGCACGGACAAGGACTCGGGCTCAGAGTCGGAGCATTGGGAGGAACCGCCTGTCTGCCAGCGTATGGGGGTCATGATGGCCTTCCAGAACGTGGAGGAGCTTAAACAGTGAGTGTTGCCAAGGCAACGGGGCGCAATGGTTACTGCTATGGCAACTGGGCACAGTGATTGTTGCTATGGCATTAAGGCCACAGTGGTTGTTGCTATGGCATTAAGGCCACAGTGGCTGTTGCTATGGCATTAAGGCCACAGTGGTTGTTGCTATGGCAATAGGGCCACCGCAGTGGTTGTTGCTATGGCAATAGGGCCACAGTGGTTATTGCTATGGCAATATGGCCACAGTGGTTGTTGCTATGGCACA